CGTGGGCGCCCACAGATGCTCCACGTGACACCTGCATAAGCAGTTGTCCAGGCGTGTCCCCATTTCTACAAGGGGGAAGCCCTGCCCATCTGACCACACCTGGCTGCCGCCTCGGGCCCCGCTCTGGGCGGGTGCAAATGGCCACAGAGGAAGCAGAGCAGCAGACTCCGTGTGCTGAGTGAGTCGGGTGTTACGGGATCACTGTCGGCCCACAGATGCTCCACGTGACACCTGCATAAGCAGTTGTCCAGGCGTGTCCCCATTTCTACAAGGGGGAAGCCCTGCCCATCTGACCACACCTGGCTGCCGCCTCGGGCCCCGCTCTGGGCGGGTGCAAATGGCCACAGAGGAAGCAGAGCAGCAGACTCCGTGTGCTGAGTGAGTCGGGTGTTACGGGATCACTGTCGCGACCCGGCAGCTTAATGCTGCAAGAGCTGTCCAGAAAGCCTGATAATTCTGTCTCCGGCAGGAGGTCGGTTCTGTGAAGCTTTGCAATCCTGCGTCGTTTCAGGCAGCACTGGAATCGGCCCTGTCCTGCCCTCCCCCACACATGTTCTTTCGCTGCCGCGTTCGTTTCCGGACAGACCTTTGGGGGCAGATCGACGTGGTGCTGGACGGAGGCTGCATCTCCTGGGTTTGGGGGGTGGCTCAGAGACTGGCTTCCTGGTGCCCAGCTGGGGGAGGTTGGAGCAGCATGAACCCAGCACCCTGGGAAGGGTGGGAGGTGTTGCAAATAGAGAAACTGAGGCACGGACACTATGTTTTTCGGAACTGTCCAAGTGCGGTGCGGAGGCGGAACAGCCAGCATGGCTGAGCACTGGGAACTCGGTGCACGCGTGGTTTCTGAAGCTCAGAGGTAAGTGTCCTGGCCTGCACAGTCCAACAGCTAATCCCAGCCCGCCCGGCTCGCGGGAAGGGATCCGTGCCGCACACCTGTGGGGTGGGGTGTTGCATGCCTGGCTGCCTTTGTTAACAGCCGTTGTATGTGGGCGCTGGGCTGGCCCGGCGCCAGCTACCCTGTGACTCAGCAAGCCCCACGGGCGCTCTGCCAGCAGAAACGGGGCTGTCAGGCAGGGCGTGCGGGGGGTGGATCCCCTGGTCACTCCGCCCTCCCGGGGGTTCACAGACACAGGACCAGGCAAAGCCTGAGCTGCTGCAGCAGGCTGAGGTGGGCCCCCTGTGTGACCCATAGCGCCGCCCCCCACGGGGATGCCACATCTAGCAAGGGCCCCTGGCTTTTTGGGGGGGGAAGTGAGCCAGACTTCCCTTGGCCCAGCGCCCCTCCCATAGAACACCCTTCCATCTGCTAGGGGCTTGTAGCCAGGGGTTCTCTGCACCCCACCCTTCTGACACCAGAAGCCGTTACCCACCCAAGGAGGGGGCCAAACCCGGAGCCCAGTCGCCTGGGGGGGGGCGAGCACTGAGAGCCGCAGCCCCAGGGAGGGGCTTGTGACCTCAGGCCTGCTACCCAGAGTTGAAGCCAATGGCTCTGGGCCCCGGCAAGTCTGAGCCTGCCCTGGGAAGCCCATTTGAATGGGGTCACAACCAATGTTCCCTCTAATGTTTTCCATCCATGTGCGGGATACATTTTGTTCTGTGCACCGAGCCATGTGCAAAAGTGCACCACCGGCAGAAATTCAGGCTGCCGGCTGTGAGTGCTCGGCTAATCCACTGGGCAGGATGTGAGGCTCCCCACCAGGACAGGCCCCCGGCGACGGGCTCCTCACCGGGACGGCCCCCTGGACGCGAGGACTTGAACTGCTTCCAGCTACGGCTTCTCCTTCAGTCCCTGTCTACTCCCTGTTTGCTATGTACCCTATTTACTTGCATTAGCACCCCAGGAGTCGCTATAACCAACACTACAAACAACAGAGCCCTGAGTGGACGGAGTAATCGAATTTCCTCTGTGGAGAACTTAGAATCATAGAACACTGGGACTGGAAGGGACCTCGAGAGTCATCGAGTCCAGTCCCTGCCCTCACGGCAGGACCCAGCACTGCTCTGAAATATCGCCAGAGATGGGGATTCCACAACCTCCCCGCTGAAATATCGCCAGAGACGGGGATTCCACAACCTCCCTGGGCAATTTATTCCACTGTTTCACCACCCTGACAGTTAGGGACTTTTCCCTAATGTCCAACCTAAACCTCCCTTGCTGCAGTTTAAGCCCATTCCCTCTTTTCTATCCTCAGAGGCCAAGATGAACAAGTTTTCTCCCTCCTCCTTATGACACCCTTTTAGATACCTGAAAACTGCTCTCATGTCCCCTCTCAATCTTCTCTTTTCTAAACTAAACAAGCCCAATTCCTTCAGCCTTCCCTCATAGGTCGTGTTCTCTAGACCTTTCATCGTTCTCGTTGCTCTTCTCTGGACCCTCTCCCATTTCTCCACATCCTTCTTGAAATTTGGTGCCCAGAACTGGACACAATCCTCCAACTGAGGCCTAACCAGCGCCGAGCAGAGCGGAAGAATGACTCCTCGTGTCTTGCTCACAACACTCCTGTTAATGCCTCCCAGAATCATGTTTGCTTTTTTTGCAACAGCATCACACTGCTGACTCATTTAGCTTGTGGTCCACTATAACCCTAGATCCCTTTCTGCCATACTCCTTCCCAGACCGTCGCTTCCCATTCTTTATGGGTGAAACTGATTGTTCCTTTCCTCTTAAAATAAGGGATAAGGGATCTTTCGGAAAAGGCTTTATTTTCCGAACGATCCGCGTCTAGACTGGCGCTTTTTTCCAGCAAAGCTCCAAGCCGGAAAAAAGCGGCAGCCATTTTTATGCTAATGAAGTGGGGGAGATTTAAATCCCCGCTTCATTTGCAATTGCGATAGGTCTAATTTGCATCCCTTTTACAAAAAAGGGATGCAGTCTAGACACAGCCTAGGATTTCATGATCACTTTCACCCAAGCTGCCTTCCACTTTCAAATTCTCAACCAGTTCCTCCCTATTTGTTAGGATCAAATCTAGAACAGCTTCCCCCCCGGCAGCTTTTTCAACCTTCTGAAATACAAAGTTGTCTCCAATGCAGTCCAAGAACTTATTGGATACTCTGTGCCTCACTGTGTTATTTTCCCAGCAT